ACAAACATAACTTCACACATAGAAAGTGTCTGTGGCTGTTGCTATTGCTCCAAAATGAGATCATACTGAATATATTTTTATGCAACCTAATCTCCTCACTTAACAGTATACCATAAATATTCTTTCAGGTCAGGGGTTGGCAAACATTTTCAGCAATGACCAGAAAGTAGATATTTTTGGTTTTGCAGACCCTACGAGCTCTGTTGCAACTACTTAGTGGACTCCACCACCATCCCACAGAAGCAGCCATAGATAATACACGAATGAATGGGTGTGGCCGTGTGCCAGTAAAGCTTTATAAACACAGACCGTGAGCCAGATTTGGCTCGGAGGCCAAAGTTTATGAACCCCTACTCTCAAAAAATAGCTTTTGCTCTAACCCACTGGTGTTTTATCTTATTTTTAATTATTTAGAATTCTTCTTACTTAAATTTTGTAAGTAATAAAAGGTGAAGTATGATATACATATAGAAAAGCATACAAGTCATAATTGTACAGTTTGAATCGTCACACAGTCAATTCACCTAGATCAGAACCCTCACATGCACCTTCGAATTCACTGTTTTAAACAACTGTGCATAACCTGTAAAATGCATATACCCTGGGGCCAGCAAGTGGCGTAGTCGTCAAGGTGCTAGACTCCCATGTGGTCAACCATGGTTCAAGTTCTGGACCTGAAAGCTTGAAACTCATGCCAGGCACATGTGCATGAATGCCCCAAATCCCAAGAGGCAAATAGAGGAGAAGGAATTGTGGTGTGGCCATCCCTCATGGGGGGTGATTTCTCACTTCTATCTCTGTCTCTTTGGTGAGTGCATGCACCCTATAGTTTTAAAAAAAAAAAATCTACCCTAATTAGGCTGATTCTGATTTTTGCCACTGCAAACAAAGCATCAAGAAACATGCTTATTCTGTGCTTCATTTCTTGGCATGCTGGCATTTTTTTTTTCAAGTGGATAGGTTCCCTAAAGGGGAACTTGAAAGTCAAAATGTTCACACACATGCATATTTTAATAGATACTGCTGAACAAAAAATCCCCAAAGGCAGTAACAAGTCAGAATCCTGCAGGTCCCAGCGACACTTCCTTCACACAACTCGGGCATTTAGGAGCAAGCTGTGGGCCCAGCACATGTGGAGTACTGGGGGCCTTAGACAAGGACCTGGCCTTGATAGTTCTCATGAGACTTCGGTGTTCAAGGAGAAAGAGAAGGAACACTGAGTAAAGAGACATGAGTTTCTCTCCATCTCCTCAAGCCCAATCCCCAGACTTCAATGTCTGGAACAGCCACCTACAACTTCACAAGCCAAGAGACTCAAAGGAAGAGTGAGGAAGGAGACCCTGCCCCGGCTTCGTGGGGTGTACAGATGATTATCTGGAACACACTGAGGAACATAGTCATGTCCCGTAGCTGAAGACACGGCTTAATTCGACTTCTTCATGACGACAATACTGAAGAAAAGTGAATACCACAAGGCATCTTGTTGAGTTTGCTTTAAAGAAATTTGCTCTCCACTAAGAACACAAAGAAGAGTTTTAACAAACCTAATTTACTGCATTACGCCTTCTTTTAAAAAAGAAAATGTAACAACTATTACGAATCATATAGTCAGTCCCAAGGACATCCTAAGTCCCAGGGCCATTGGGTCTGCCTGGGTATGTGGGGACACGCCTGTCTGCACACACAAGGACAGTGTTCATAGCTCTCATCCAATCCTCAGAGCCTATTGTGACATAACTTGAAGGGTGACAGGATCATTTGTCAAGCCAGCCATTATACAATTAAGCTGTGTGCATATCGCTGAGTGTGAATTTGACCTCAAAAGTAAACAAACGAATCGTAAATAAATCTTGAATTCTAGTTAAAGGTGCACATATTGCAGTGTTTACAGGGAACTGAATCGATGTCTATAATTTACTTTGAAATGTGTCAAAAAGAAGATGGAGTGATGAGGGGAATGGGTAAGTGATTAAGCAAGTGTAGTAAATATTAATGATAGCATTTAGGTAGCAAATAAATAAACATCCGTTTTAAATTCTTTTGATTGTGCTGTATGTTGAATTTATATATATATATATAATAGGATACTGGGAAAGAATTACAAACCAATTATGTAAACGGGAGGGGAGAGCCACCAGAATTGAGTTCCATTCCTGCTCTGTTTGTGGCCTTAACAAAGAGAACCTGGGCCGCAGTGAGCCCTTGTGTTCTCTGCAGCACCTTCCATCAGAGACAACGACGGAGCGCTGTCGTTCTACAAATGGGGGCATCTCTAGAAAGAGCCGCTGGGGAGGAATGGATACGAAGGCAAAGACAGCCCTCTAGTGGTCACTGGCAGCGTAGTTTAGAATCATTTTCTAGCTCTGCAATGGATGTTTGTCTGGGTAATACAGTATTTTGAGATATTCATCTTTCAGGACTTTTTCTTGGTTATGTTTTATTTTCCCCCTCCTCTCTTCTATTTCCATTTTGAGTAGCTAGTCAGCTTAGGGGAAGTGTGTGGCGAGGCAAAAAGCCGAAATAGCCTTTGGTTCATTCTGTCTCTGTGTTCCAAATGCCTAAATCGTAGATGATTTAAAGAGGAGATCACACTGAAGAAAGGGAATTGTGGACACAGAGTGTCTTGGAAAAAACCTTGAAGAGTAATGGAAAAATTTTAACTGGACAGGAAAGAGATTCTCCACAGCTAATAAAAGAAAGAAAGATGAGAAACTGTTCCATGGGTCCCAGGGAACGAGCAAGACTCCGGGTCGTGACCTCCATCCAGGCAGAGCTTGTATTGATTGCTCCCTGTCATAGCCCAAGAGTCTAGAATCCCAGCAAACAGAAGAAACTCAATCTACATTGTTGAAGGAGTAAATTAACGAATGACAGGGAACACCGTGAATAAATACCGTAGGAACTGACATCTCAGAACATGAGGGAGAGGAGAGCCACAGTCAACAAGTCACGGTCACCATGTTAGTGAGTCATCCCCTTGTCATTGCTGGTCTCCGTAATGTATTCCCTCCACCAGGGACACAGCATCTGGCAAGAGTGTGGGTTACAGAGCCAGACTGTCTGGGCTAAAATCTGAGACCACCACTCACCACCTGGGACTTCTGGAGAGTTACCTAACTGACTCTTTGTCTGCTTCCTTACATTTAAAAATAGGGATGGGGCGAGAAGGTGGCATAGCTAAGGCACTGGATTCCCACATGGCCAACTGAGGTTTGAGTCCTAGACCTGGTGACTTGACAGTCATGCCAGGTGCATGTATGTATGGGTGCCCAAAATCCTAGGAGAAGGGTCTGCAGTGTGGCCATCCCTCCTGGGTGTGACTTCTCACTTCCCTCTCACTGTCTCTGGTGAGTGCATGCACTCTGTGGCAAATTAAAAAAAAAAATGGGGATAATAACACCTATGACAGAGGGTCTCTGTGAAGATTAATTCGTTGATCTATGTAAAACACCTGGCATCTAGTCAGTGCTCAATAAACAAAGCTAGTATTATTTTTTGCATTTACCCTGATAAGAAGCTTGCTCTATCTGGGTATCGCTAACACTTCCTACAGGCACAACTTAGCCATGACTTCCTTCCAGAAACCTCGGGTGCTCCTGTATGTTGCCATGGTGCCCTTACAGTATTTGCCACATTGCAATATAATTATCTATGTCTGTTCTCCCACTAGGAGAGCTTCCTGAGAGCAGAGACTAGATTCTATTCATCCTTGGATATAATCCAGTCCTCAGGCCATTCCTAGATGAACGACTGAGTGAGCAAATGAACACCTGAAGCCCATCTCACCTTCCCACCTATAACATGCCACCTTCCTCAGACTGTAAGTACCCAGCCATTCCAAACTACCCCACCTCAGGAATAGCACATATTCAGCACTGCACTGGTCTTCTGGTCTTGTCCCGCCATATTGGCTTTAGAAGAAGATACCCAAGTGGAATATCCAAGTGAAGGGCCCTTAAGCGTTTTCTTGTACTCTTCCCACTTGTTAGACTTCTCATGATGGCAAACACCTTCTCCACCTCACAACAGTTCTTTACAACAACTAAGCGGGTCTTCTATGAGCTTCCCACATTAATTTCTTTTTTCCCAAGAGTGCTTTGAAAACCTCTTTGGGATCTATTGTAGGTAGATGTGGCCTCAACTTTCCCCAAGAGTCTGTCAAGGATTTCAGTCTCTCTGATGCTCTTGTTTTGACGCGTGGATGTTAGATCTTGGGAAGGACTTAAGCACACAATACGGAGAGTAGCTAAGACTGTCTGGGAGATGTTTCTATCTGAGAAGGTTCTGCGACACAGTGTTCTCACCACAAATACTGTGTTTCTTCTTCTCAAAGGAGGAACATCAAACATTGTTGTAGGCTTTGTTTTTGTTTTATAACAGCCCCAACTTTTGGGAGGTAAGATCACAGATACGAAGATGAACAAGGCTGAACATCTGAAGATGGCCATAATGAAGATGGGGACGGGAGGTTGGTTCTTACACTGAGAGACAGTGAGTTGAAGGGAGCGAATGAGATATTGCTACATGCACAGAGACAGATGCATGAACTTCGGGACCTTTTTACTTCTGTGCTCTGGATTTGCATGGCCTGCTCTCACGATTCGTGAGGCATCATGATGTCATGGTTTCCCATGACTCCACAAGTCCCACTGCTCCATGCCTTTTCTGCATTGTCCAGGAAGGATAATCGTGGCACCAAAGGGCGCATCTCAGTCCCAGTAGTACTCTCTATTGACCTAGGACCCGGTACTTAACATGTTCTCTGTGGTCTACTCCCTGTAAGAATAATGACATGACAGCAGAAGGCACTGGTGCGGAGACCACACGTGAAAGCCTTGTAGCCTCCTCCAGAAGTATTCTCACTCATACAAAGACCCACAGGCTACACATTTAGTGGTGTTCACTTGCTGGGCTCTGGAGACAGATCGATAAACCACAGCAGACTCCATCCTGCCCTCGGGAAGCAAATGCCTTGTGGGAGATGCAGACACTACCCAAACCCGCTGACGCAAGTTCACATTCAGGATGTCATGAGCATCTTCAGTGGGGGAAGGACGTGTAAGGGGGATCACTGTCAGTCTCCCTGATGGTGAGAATGAGCTGAGCTCTGGAGGAAGAGAAGCAGCGAATGACTGGAAGAAGAGAAGATGGCAAAGACCCATTCCAGCAGACGGAAAGAGCACAAGGATGGCCTGTGGTGTGTGGCAGCCAGGAGAGAATCAAAAGACAGAAAGGGGAGGCTCAGTCAGTGGCATGGTGATTAAGGCAGCTGGGTGCCACACAGTGGACTGCAATCTGAGTCCTGGACCCAGTGGCTTGAAAAACACCACGGGTGCGTGTGCGTGAGTGCCCAAGATCCTGAGAGGAGAATGAAGAAAGGATTGGGGCATGGCTGTCCCCCCTGAGGAGTCTCTCTCTCTCTCTCTCTCCAGAGAGTACAAACTGAACTAAAAAATAAAAAGGCAAAACTAAAAAAAGGAAAAATGAAAGAAAAAGAGGAGACAGAGAATGAGAATTAGACCACCCCATTAGATTTAGTCTGTTCAAAGACAATGGAAAATCATTGATGGACAGTTTTTAAAGACAACTGGTCAGATTTCCATTCTTAATATATTTTTTAATTGCTAAAGGGCACGAGCACTTGCCAGAAAAAGAAAGAGACATCAGCCCCTCAATGGGGCATGACCATACCGTATTCTCCCTTCCTCCATTTCTCCATTTTCTCAGGAGTTGGGGTACACACACACACACACACACACACACACACACAGAGTTTTCCAAGTCTCCAGGGTTAGGATTTGAACCAATGGTGGCCATGCAGGACCTGGCTCCCTAAGCACAGGGTTAAACTGTTGTGCTAAAGCCAGTCCTCCATTCTGACTTTAACCTGGAAGAATCCTCTGAACAGATACACTACGTGGATTTCTGTTGACAAGGGTGCTAGGAAACTGTCCACCCCAGGAGATGCTGGGATTTTCCAGAGAGCATATGGCGCTCAGGGCAGACAACAGCTTCAGGCTGAACGTCTTAGCACGTCACATGCGCCTAGGGTCTGGATGGAGTTGGCGATTCAACCAGCACCACAAGGTACTTTTTAAAATTTATTTATTTATTTATTTTTTGCGGGGGGAGGGGGGGGATGACCACAAGGTACTTTTTAAAATTTATTTATTTTTGGGGGGGAGGGGGGTGGAGGTTTTTGCTATAAGGCGCATGCACTCACCAGAAAGGCAGAGAGATAGAAAGAGAGAAATCAACCCTCAGGAAGGATGGCCATGCTGCAATCCCTTCTCCTCCATTCTCCTCTCAGGATCTTGGGCACACACACACACACAGCGTGAGTGTAAGCCACTGGGTCCAGGATTTGAGCTGCAGTCGACTACATGGGAGTCCAGCAACCCAGCCATTATGCCAACTGCTGGTCCCAAGGCACTTCTTGCCTGGCGCTGCTGGAAGGGCCCTGTGCAACCTTCAGGTCTCTCTCCTCTTGATCTGCCTGGCCAGGGTCGAGGAGGAGGAGCCTCAAGTCTCAACCTAGGAGACTACAGGATACCCAGGTGTGCTGACGCTGTTGGGCCCTGCCCAGCTCCCCTCCCCACAGAATGCACGGAACCCTGTGGCTGCTGTGAGAATAGGCCGTTGATGGCTCAGAGTTGTCGCCACTTCAGGGACTCACCCTCAGCCACACAAAGGCCACCCAGCCCTGGTCACGCCACTTTCTACCTCTGTCCTCAGCAGCCGGCCTCGGGGACTGACGGTGTTAGTCTGCTCAGGCTGCGATAGCGAATGTTCAACACGGACGGGGTGGGTTACACGACAGGCAGGTATTTCTCCCAGTGCTGGAGGCTGAAAGTGAGACCAGGGAGCTGAACACTGGCTTCCTGGTGAGGGCTCTGTTCCCACCTGACAAAGGCTGCCTTTCCTCCACGTCCTTCCTGGCAACGAGGACAAATGTCAGCAGCACTACTTCCACCGGACGGACCGTACCAAAGTGCTATCGGAAGGCCGGTAGCTATTCAGTGAATGTGTCAGAGCCCTAAGCACACAGATATTCTGCCCTCAACTTAAAGGAGCCCAAATTTCTTCCCGTCTACTCCCCGTTACAGGTTGAATTATGTCCCCACAAAAGATATGTTCAAGTCCAGTACCTATAAATGTGACCATCTCTGGACAGGAGGTCTTTGCAAATGTAATCAAGTCACGATAAGGTTGTACTAGTTAGGGTGAGCCCTAATCCAGGGACTGGTGTCCTTATAAGAGGAAATTTGGGGGACCAGCAGATGGTGTCATGGTCATGGTGCTGGACTCCTACATAGTTGACCATGGTTTGAGTCCCAGATCCAATGGCTTAAAATTCACACTGGGCGCATGTGCGTGCATGCCCAAGATCCAGAGAGGAGAGTGGCGGAGAAGGGATTGCAGCGCAGCCATCCCTAATAGGGAGTGGTGGTGGTAGTGGGGGGCGATTTTCCACCTTCTTTCTCTCCTTTGCTCGTTGCTCTCTGGTAAGCACATATGCCCTATAACAAAAATCTCTCTGTTAAAAAAAGTACAGAAGGGGATCAGCAGTTAGTGTAATGGCTATGTCACTGGACTCCCACGTAGTCGACTGCGGTTCGCGTCCCGGACCCGGTGGCTTAAAACTCAAGCCGGGCGCGTGTGCATGCGTGCCCAAGATCCCGAGAGGAGAATAGATTGTGGCGTGACCATCCCCCCTGGGGGGTGATTTCTCGCTTTCTGTCTCTCTGTCTCTCTCTGTCTATCTGGCGAGTGCACGCACCCTATGGCAAAAACCTCTCAAAAAAATACAGAAGGAAATTTGGTCAGAGACACACAGGACGCTGTATGATGACAGAGGCAGAAATTGGAGCGGCACGCGAACAAGCCAAAGAACACAAAAGATCACCGTCAGCCAGGAAAGGCTAGGAGAGAGGAGCAGGACACACTCCCTTGGAGCCCTCCTGAAGGAACCAATCTTACCAGTACCTTGATTTCAGACTTCCAGCCCCCAGAACAGCCAGAGAACAAATGGCTGATATTTGAAACCCTCGGTGTGTGGCTCTTTTTCGTGACAGTCCTAGGGCACAAATGCACCCCTTTTCATGGGTGTATAGCGGGACAGCCTGAGAATCACTGGCCTGTGGTCAAGACTCTCAGAGACCAGAGCGTATCTGCGGTTAAGGGGGAAGGCTTTGACCTTGAACTTGACAAGAGGTCGTACCACATCAGAACAAAGGCTCCCCAACGAATGTCTGAATGTCCGTGAGGCCCAGAAGAGGTTCCCCAGCTAAATGACAAAGGAAACAAAGTGGTGGGAACCGGGGGAGGAGTACTAAACGAAACTAAACTAAGCTAAACTAAACTGGTATACAGTACCTAAGAATCCAACAGACCTTGGTGAGAAAGCGTGCGGCTCGCTAAGCCTGTTTCCTGATGGGCGGAATGATCGCTCACTTCGTTAGAGTTGTTGAGAAATGAACACAGTACTGCCTGAGAGTGCTCTGAACACTTCCCAATGACTGGCACGTGGAACAACTCGCTAAGTGTTACCTATTGGTCTATTATTATTACTAATGGGGTAAGCTCTTGGAAGTATGATGACTTCTCTAAGCCTCATTCATAAAATGAGTACAGTAGATACTTCATAGAGGACTGGCAGGGTTGGTTTTTTTTTTTTTCAATAACTTTTTGAACTTTATTTATTTATTTTAAGTTGATCAGAGAGGGACGGAGCGAGAGTGAGGGGGTGGGGAAGGATAGAGAGGGAAAATGAGAAACCAAACCGCCAGGCCCAGGATTCGAACCATATTCAGCCAGGTGGAAGTCCAGCACCCTTAACCACCTACCAGCACCTTGGTAGGGGTTCAAGCACTACATATCTAGTGCGTTCCCTAAATTGTTTACAACCATTTAACATTCTTGAGCCAGTGTAGTTTCTAGAGAGTGACACTAGAGGGCAGCAGAACTTTAGTTTTGCCGTTCCAGCACCAGCAGACCTAAGTCCATGGGGAACACGTGCTGTTCTTGAACCTGTGAAAGCAGGATTCCCCGCAGAGGCCCCCAAGCAACCCTCTGAAGGCAATCAACTGCCTGCCTTCCTCTCCGAGGAAAACGTAATGCAACAAAATGCATGTTTTCTAAAAACGCCCTGGGCTTCACAAACTTCAGTTTAAAAAGAGGAATTCCATTTTACAGGGGTATTTTTCAACTTCTACATGGTTATGTGGTTTAGATGAAGCCCTTTCCAGCACCTCAGAGCTACTGCACCATCTTGGGGCCTCAGAAACAGCCCAATATTTGCAAAATCAATCCATTACATGGTCAGTTTCTGAAGTCACCAATTCATAAGCCTTGTGTGTATTAATTAGTTCTGAAGTCTGTAGCCATTGTGTAACCTTTGAGAGAGCATTCCTCCCAAGTCCCAGTTTCACATGTGGCCAGTTCAGAACAGACTACCATGGCCTGGGCTGAGTGCTCACCAGTCCAGCACAGCGGACCACCTGTGTTCTTGAGCTTCACACGTCACAGCTGAGTCTGTCTTAAACAGATGGTACCTGAGTAAAAGATGCCACTATCTTCTCTTCCCCTCAACTCATTGCACCTCAGCTATATTTCTTATTACGGAATATTTCCGACATGCAAAAAGTATAAAGAATGATGGGACAAGAACCAGCATAGTCATTGCCAGGTTAAAAAGATACCCAGAAAGCCCAGGAGTGGGGGGTTCCCTGGATTGCACACCCATTCCACCTCCTCCTCTTTGAAACATAATATTCTTCCAAAAGTGGTGTTTGATCATTTTTCCCACTGGAAAAGCTTTGGACAGAACCAAGCTGCCTTTCTCTGCTGTTTGAATAAGAGAAAAAGAACTGCATGCTCCAAAATAAACTGAGAGAGTAAGAAAGGGAGAGGAAGGGAAGGGGAGAGTGAATCCTTGGAAGTCAGAAGCTCAGGAGAAGCACAGCTCAAGCCAGCCTGAGGTGCTGAGGCCACAGCTTCGAAGGAGTGCAGTGTCCGAGGACGTCCACTGAGTGAGGGCTGCCGTAATGGGGACGAAGGCAGTGTCACATCCACTCCCCACCCCTGTGGCTACCCATCCCTCCACCACCCCTCCCCACCTCAGACATACGAGATATGAGTCGAGCAAGATCAGGAACCAGCAGAGCCAGGGCAGGATTCCCAGGCCACCTACCGACAACGATGAGGACCTCCCTGTCGATGTGGGCCTGGATGTAGATGCGGCCGCGGCGCTCCGTGTGGTCTGTGCCACAGAGGCTGGGGACGTTCATCACGCAGCGCTTGTGGACGTTCATCATGCACGCTGCGAGGGCAGAGAGGGGGCGGTACGGGTTGGCTCAGGTGGGGGCTGCGAGCATCTGCCCCTCCCAGGCCAGCTGGGCCCTTCCCATGCCCGCCCCCCTCTTTGAGGCAGCAGAGACCTGTGAGTTTGGACAAGACCAAATTGCCCTGCCAGGGTCTCACCAGGAGAGCTTCCCCAGTTCTCTCCAGTCCCTGATAAACAAGGGCGTGTAAAATGGTCTGTCCCCACCAAAGGCCAAGGGTGGACCTCCTACCTCAGTAGGAGTCCCAGGCCACCGACTGACAACAGAAACTCTCCTGTCACTTCTGTTCGTGGGCAGAGGCCACAGGGAGAACGCATGCTCACTGCCACATTTCAGGTACTTACTGTCACATTTCATCCCCTGGTGGATGAGTCCGTACAGCAGCGACCCACAGTGGTCACAAAACGTGGGGCTGGAGTATGTGTGGATCTTAAACTTGTGTTTGCTCCGGGGATCCTAAGGCCAAGAGAAGCAAACGAGAGAAGTCAGCATCAGTGTGGCATGCCAAGGAGTCACGCCACATTGCGTGTCACTGGAGAACTCACCAGGAGACAGACTTGGGCCCCAGAGCTCAGCACACCTCATTAGGCCCATCACTGGGACCCGGTGCTCAGGCATGGTGCCATGTAAATGGTTATTGAGTGAATGAAGGACTAAGAGAGCCAGTGGTTCCCATTCCAGCTCCAGCACATACTCTGCCTCCAAGACCTTCCTCAGGGCCCACTCGGAAGCTTAACCTACTGGCTCCTGCCTGTAGCAAAGACTCCAGAGTTGACACAATACAGTGACAGATACATCACTTAAATGGGTCTCATTCTCCTCTGCTCCTCCCCTCGCTTTGTTCTCCAGGCAAGGTCTGGAGTGATCTAAAGCTCAAGTCTAAGCACAAAACTTAGAAGATATTCTCGCTTAGAAGTTATTTGCCAGTTCTTCTTTGCCAACAAAATAAGGTTCAAAGCCCAATGGATATTCTATAAGATGTTGCAAAGATGGTTAGTTTTCCACCAATGTCCTTCTTCCCTTAAACGATAAAACCCTTGAGTTTTAGCCAAGAGCATGGTCATCCAACTAAAGACTACATTTCCCAGCCTTCCTTGCAGCTTAACATGACCATGTGACCAAGTTCTGGCCAAAGTGGTACATGCTCTAAAATATGTGTGAGCCTCACTGTTCTCTTCTCTCCTTCCCATTGGCTGAAAGATGGTGAGAACTGGAAGTGATCACCTTGGGCCCAAACTTGGAGTTCTGTGCAAATGTCAAGCCATCTTATTGCCTTGAACTGACACCTGAGAGAAAATTTAACTTATCCTTTTTAAGTCAGTATTTTTATTTTTGTCCCAAAGTATATTTCTTCCATGAGACAGAGAGATGGGAGATCTCCCACAGAGTCTTAATGCCATAATCCACCCTCCAGTTCCAATCAGCTCAAACCATAGGGGTGCACGAGGAGGCCCCAGAACATGAACCCAGTCATGAGCTAAACAAATGGTTATCAAGCCAGCAAGTGGTGTGGTGGTCAAGGCTGCTGGATCTCACATGGCTGACCACATGTATAAAGTCCTTGATCTGAGAATGAAAACACTGGGGACATGTGCATGCATGCCCAAAATCCTGAAAGGAGAGAGAGGTGGTGAAGGGATTGCAGTGTGACTCTGTCCCATGGGGGATTTTTTGTTTGTTTTCCTCTTTCTTTCTCCCCAATGAGTGCACATGCCCCATGGCAAATTTTTTTTAATGGTTATCATTTTGAGCCACTGTGTTATAAAGCTGAAGAACTGTTATGCAGTAAAGGGTAACATTCACCCAGGACTTGGGAGAATGTGCTGCAGACTCAGACCTCAAACCGTGAGAGAGCTGCCCCTCATGCTATGGGTCCAGTTGCAATATGGATTCTGCTGCCCGCCTGACATCTATTAATACATCATGGTACTCTGAGGGCTGTTTCTTAGCATGGCTTACATGTTTCCCTAACTAATCAACACACTCTTTATAACCTGGCAGTGTAGTGCAGTAGTTAAAGGTACAGACTCTGGAGCATGACCTGCCTAGGTTCTTCCTAGTCATATGACTTTGGGCAAGGCTTTTTATCTGTTTGAGCTTCTGTTTCCTTGTCTATAAATAGAAATACAGATAGTGCAAAGACTATTCTTATAAGGCGGGTGAGAATCATCCTGTGTAGAAGAAATCTTAGAACCACCTAGCCCAGAGTAAGCAGGGGCAGATATTTGCATTGATCACTTCTCTAGAGTGATCCCTGGCTGTGTATCTACACACACACTGTATTCTCAATACCAGATCTCATTTCCACTCCCAGACAAGTCTCACTCTCCAGAACCCTCTGGCTCTGCATGTTGTCTTCTTAGTCAGAAAAACACTTGCACATCCATGTTTATTGAAGCATTAGTCACAATTGCTAAGGCACGGAATCAACCCAAATGTCCAAGTGCAGACGAATGGATTGAAAAAATGTGGCACATATATGCTATGGAATACTACTCAGTCATAAAATAATAGGACCCTGAAAACTGATACAATGTGCACGAATATGGAAGATTTAATGCTGAGTGAAGCGAGTCAGACTATGAAAGAGAGGCATGGTATGTCCCCATTTAATATATACCAAATGTCTGCACTCTATGACAGAAACTGAAAGGTTGGAAAGTATAAAAGCAAGGAGAGCAACTGTGGATACTGGAGACAGTGTGGGAGGGGACATGCAATGAGAGGGAGTGAAGGAGATAATTGGGAGGTAAAAAAGCAAAACATTTAATGAACACAAAAATTGAAAGTTATCTGTTGATGATAATGTACTGTCTAACTGGACTAATATACAATGCACTCATGAGGGGAATTTTTAAAATTAATTAGTTCATTAATTAAACAAATGCATGAGCCAAAAAAAGGGGGGGGGGAGGTATTCTTTCCTCACTGCTCTTACTAATCTTATTCCTTCTTCTCTTTCTCACTCTAGTCTGAAAGTGGCTTTCTCTGTGAAATAGTACATTGTCAAAGTCAGTAACAGGAGCCTTCAGTACTAACCTACAGCTGATTTAACACCTAAGACTTTGCTCTAAGCACTCTCTCTTTCCTCATTTGTCCATTCATTCATATGCATTTATTAATGCAGGTGTCTTCTTGGAACTTAAATCCCAGTACTAACAAAGTCAGAGAATGAACAAGTTGGCAAATAAATAGACACAATAACTGGATATTATTTTATGTGCTTTAAAGTGATGAATGTTTCTTTCCAGGAAACTGGTACTTTCATATTTTTTAAATAATCCTGAAACTGCAAGAATTACTACAATCGAAATATTAAAACTGACGATACCAAGAGTTGGTGAAGAAAGAACACAACTGTAATTTTTATTTAATGCTTAGGTGGAGCAAGGGAGGGGGATGCAATATGTGAAAAATAATGAATTATTTAAAAAATAACAGTTTGGCAGTGTCTGACCCAGGAATCACACTCAGGTGAAATGAAAACATGTCCATACAACAACCTACATGTGAAAGCTTATCACCTATAATAGCCCAAACCTAGAAATAACAAAAATATCTGTCAACGGCAAATGGACAAAGTGTGGCACATTTGAAGCAGTAAGAAGAAACCAGAGGCCAGACTGTAGCACAGCATAGGTCCTGATTTTCCAGGGAACTGAGAGAAAGAAACAAAGATAAAAGTCGCATGGCCCCAGGGATGGAGCTCCCTGTTCCAGTCCCTGGGGGACCTGGCATGCTGCCCTCCACTTCCATCTGCCTCCTGTGCCCTCTAAAAGTTCTCTGTGCTCAGCCAGCCCAAGTAGGCATGTTACCTGCAAGCAGCAGCCAGAGCCAAGATACTTACCATCCCTTTGGCTCAGGCACTGCCCACCCACCAATCAGAACTGACAGCAGGGCAGAGCTGCCCTGGGAGTTAACTCGTTAACTGCAGGTCAGGGAGAGGAAGGATGGGAAAGAGCTGGTGGAGGCAGCTGGTGGTAGAAGGTGGAAGGAGGAGGACCAGGGTGCTCAGTGGCTATTTACCAATTGACTTGAAAGTATTTCAATATTTTCACAACTGGTTACAACAGTGCCAATGCATAAAGGCTAAACATCAGTTCCCTTAACCATAGAGCTATGGTTATTGACCTCAGGGTTCCATGTAGCCTCCAAGTCATTCTTCTCCTCGGTCTGATTCTGATGCCATTCGAGATGAGCTTCCATCTCTGCCCCAGTTTCTGGCGCACCTCCTCCCATGCCATTTTAGATCAGATCCCCCTCATCCTAGGCCACGTTGGCTGAACCCCTCCAGGCCACCTGGGGCCTGCCCCATCTCCTGCCTGCGTCCTCCTTCATACTCAGAAGTCACCATCTGGAGCTCTTGAGCTTTATGAAGGCTACAAACAAGCTATACTTGGCCCTTGTATTGCTTTTTAAAAATCTGAATCAGTTGACTATATCTAAGGTCATGAAATGTCAGATTAAAAGTGTACATTTCTGGGGCCAGCAGGTGGCGTAATGGCTATGTCACTGGACTTCCATGTAGTTGACCGCAGTTTGAGTACCAGACCCGGTGGCTTAAACTCATGCCAGGCACGTTTGCATGCATGCCCAAGATCCCAAGAGGAGAATGGAGGAGAAGGGATTGCGGCATGGCCATCCCCCCACATATACATATATATATACATATATATATATATATATATATATATATATATATATATATAAAAGTATACATTTCTTGCCTCTTCAGAAAAATCTCAAATTGAGACAATACTGGACACACATTTCTGCAGGCTAAGCAAGGGTTGTGCCTTTAGATAAAAGATAAATTTTCCGGTTCTCCGTAGTCCCCACCATTCCCTGCTGTCTATACCATGCCTGCTTCCCTCTTTTCTCTTCCCCACTGGTCCCTGCAGGCATTCAGGTATGTGACCTCTGCCAGCGCCCTATCCTCTTTTCAACAGTCCTTTGGCTGGAATCCAACCATGTGGAACACATCCCTCGAAGTCCCTAATGAGTTCATCTGGCTCAGTGTCAAATGCCTTCAGAAATAAACTAGAAACGACTGCATCCCTACCCCCACATCACCCTTGACAGCCAGTGTTTCCAGTCACCCTCCCAGCACTAGCAGGCAGGTTTCCACAAGATCCTGGCAGGACCTCTCTCCCCGCTGTTTCACGATGTTGAGACTCCATCTCTACTCACTTAGACTAGGCAACTTAGGATTTCCTCGTTTCTTTTCATTTCTGATCCTGATTCAACAAATTGCTGAACAACAACAAAATCATCAACGACTGGGACATTTACTACCACCGTGACGTGGGCACATACAATCTGCCAAACGTCAAGTATTCTGCAGCACATCATTACATTCTCGTAATAGCTCCATGAGGAAAGAGTTACGATCGTCCTGGTATTGCAGAGGAGCAGACTGAGGCTTGGATAAATAGCTTGTCCAAGGTCAAAAGCAG